TATGGCTACAAGAGTAGATCAGAAGCTAGGAATTTGCAGCAAGTAATTCACTCCTTCATTCCCCAAAGTCTGTCCACAAGGCCCAAGTCAGTTATTATGGAATATTCTCCTCTCGCCTGGCTGGGTATAACTGTAACAACACTCAAAAAAGACTTGACACCACCAATACATATTAGCAACAGTATATGCCATCTACAGGATGCACAGCAGGAATTCACCAAGGCTCCTTAGCACATTCTTAAGCTATGACCATGACCATCGAGAAGGACGAATGAAGTACATACATGGAAATGTCACATTCCTGTCCAAGCCACTCCCTGTTCCTTCACTGTTGCTGAGTCAAAATTCTCAAACTTCCTGTCTAATAGCACTGTGGGCATACCAATGCCAAATAGACCTGCAGCAGTTCAAGAAACCAGCACGCCACCACATTCTCAAGTTTTGATTAAAAATGGGAAATAAATGCTGGCCCAGCCAGCGCAGCGCACACACCCTCCTCATGAATAAAAATAACATAATAAATAAATCTAAAATACCCAAGAGCAAAATTACCTCTTAAAAAGTAATATCCGGAAAAGATAATGTCAAATGATCATCTGATCAGAGTGTAAAGCCACAGGTATCTCCTGAAGAGCAAAGTGGGGTCAGAAAGAAGAGTCAGAAACAGCATAAAGAGCAGTCAACCTAAGCATAGTTGCATGATGATGTCACAGGGTGATTGCAGATGTGCGAAAGTGTGTAAGGCTGGCACAAGACAGACAAAAATGGCATTCCATGACTGAAAATCTCCCATCAAGAGTAGCTACAAACACAACCTCTTTGTCAACAGAGCAGTTGGCTTACATTTCAAATTTCATTCAGTATTAATTTTATTACAGTGAAATCATAATAAGTAGGACCAGGAGTAGGCTATTCGACCCCTTGAGCCTGCTGCGTCACTCAATAGGGCCATGGCTGATTCGACAACATTAAAATCGTAGAATCCCTACATTGTGGAAGCAAGTCATTCGGCCAACAAGTCCACATTGAGCCTCCATAGACCATCCAACCCATACCCAACCCCCTACCCTATCTCCGTAACCTTGCATTTCCTGTGGCCAATCCACCTAACCTACACATCTTTGGACTGTGGGAGGAAACCGGAATACCCGGTGGAAATCCATGCAGACACGGGGAGAATGTGCAAACTCTACACAGATAGTTGCCCAAAGGTGGAATCAAATCAGGGTCCCTAGTGCCATAGAACATAGAGCAGTACAGGCCCTTCGGCCCACGATGTTGTGCTGAACTTTTACCTTAATCCTAAGGTCAATCTAACCTCCACCCCTACCTTATACTATCATCCATATGCCTATCTAATAGCCACTTAAATGCCCCTATTGAGGCCAACTCCACTACCCTCTCCGGCAATGCATTCCACGCCCCTACCACTCTCTGAGTAAAGAACCTACCTCTGACGTCTCCCCTATATCTACCTCCACTCACTTTAAAACTATGCCCCCTCGTAATAGCTACCTCTACCCAAGGAAAAAGTCTCTGGCTGTCTACTGTATCTATACCTCTGTTCATTTTGTACACCTCTATCAAGTCACCTCTCATCCTTCGTCGTTCTAAAGAGAAAAGCCCTAGCTCTCTCAACCTTTCCTCGTAAGATCTTCCCTCCATTCCAGGCAACATCCTGGTAAATCTCCTCTGCACTTTTTCCAACGCCTCCACGTCTTTCCTGTAATGAGGTGACCAGAACTGGACACAATACTCCAGATGTGGCCGAACCAGGCTTTTGTGTAGCTGGAGCATAACTTCACGGCTCTTGAGCTCAATCCCTCTATTAATGAAAGCTAACACACCATACGCCTTCTTAACAACTCTATGCATCTGGGTGGCAGCTTTCAGGGAACTGTGAACATGAACCCCAAGATCCCTCTGCTCCTCCACACTGCCAAGAATCTTTCCATTAACCCTGTATTCTGCTTTCAAGTTTGTCCTTCCAAAATGAATCACCTCACACTTTTCAGGGTTAACCTCCATCTGCCACTTCTCAGCCCAGCTCTGCATCCTATCAATGTCCCTATGTAACCTGGAACAGTCTTCCGCGCTGTCTACAAAGCGACCACCTTCGTATTGTTCGCGAACTTGCTAATCCACCCTTCCATTCTTTCATCCAAATCATTTACAAAAATCACAAATAGAAGAGGACCCAGGACAGATCCTTGTGGTACACCACTCGTAACTGAGCGCCATGTTGAATATTTTCCATCCACTACCACCCTTTGTCTTCTAAGGGTCAGCCAATTCTGAATCCAATCTGCCACATTTTCCCCCTATCCCATGCCTTCTTACCTTCTGCATGATGGGGAACCTTATCAAATGCCTTACTTAAATCCATGTATACCACATCCACTGCTCTCCCTTCGTCCAGGTGTTTGGTCACCTCTTCAAAGAATTCAGTAAGGTTTGTGAGGCATGATTTACCCCTCACAAATCCATGCTGACTATCACGAATCAAACTGTGCCTTTCCAACTGCTATCAAATCCTATCTCTCAGAGCCCTTTCCAATAATTTGCCCACCACTGATGTAAGACTAACTGGCCTGTAATTTCCGGGGTTATCCCTATTCCCTTTTTTGAACAAGGGAATGACGTTTGCCTCTCCCCAATCTTCTGGCACTATGCCCGTGGACAGTGAGGACAAAAAGATCATCGCCAAAGGCCCTGCGATCTCTTCCCTTGCTTCCCATAGAATCCTTGGATAAATCCCATCAGGACCGGGGGACTTATCTATCTTCAACTTCCTCAAAATACCTAGCACATCTTCTTTACTAACATCAACCTCCTCTAGCCTACCTGCCTGTTTCACACTGTCCTCCTCTACAACTAGGTCCCTCTCAGTAGTGAATACCAAAGAAAAGTATTCATTTAAGGACCTCTCCCATCTCATTAGGCTCCGTGCACAAATACCTTTTACAATCCTTGATCGGCCCTACCCTTTCTCTGGTCATTCTCTTATTCCTCACATACGTGTAAAAAAGCTTGGAGTTTTCCTTGATCCTATCTGCCAAGGTTTTCTCATGCCCCCTTATAGCTCTCCTAAACTCTTTCTTCAGCTCCTTCCTGGATAACTTGTATCCCTCTAGAGCCTTTTCCGTTCCTTACTTGCCTCACTATGAGGCAGCTGTGATAACCGCTCAGCCACCATGCCACCCACATCCCTCACATTCACTTTCCTGCCCTTTCCCCATGACCCTTGATTCCCTACTGATCAAGAATCTTATCTACCTAAGCCTTAAATATTCACAAGGACTCTGCCCCCAAACCTCTTTGTGGCAAGGAGTTCCAAAGGCTCTCAACCCTCTGGGAGAAGAACTTCCTCTTCATCTCAGTCTTAAATTGACGCCCCTTTATTCTGCGACTATGCTGTATGGTTCTTAAACTCTCCCATGAGGGGGAACGTTCTCCTAGAATTTACCCTGTCAAGGCCCAGAAAAATCCTATATGTCTCAATTAGATCCCCTGTCATTCTTCCAAGCTCCAGTGAGTATAGTCCCAACTTGTTCATGTTTTGCTCACAAGACAGTCCCTCCATACTGGAGATCATCCTGGTGCGCCTTTTCTAAATTTGCTCCAATGAAATAAAAAAGCTCCTTAAATATGGAGATCAAAACTGCTCACAGTACTCCAGATGTGGTCTCACCAGCACTTTCTACAGTTGCAATAAGACTTCCCTACTTTAATAATCCAATCCCCTTGAAATAAGGGCCAATTTTCTGTTAGATTTTCTGATTACATATTGCACCTCCGTGCTAGCTTTCTGTGTTTCGTGCACAAATTCCTTTTGGTTGCAGCTTTCTGCAGTTTTTTACACGCCAAATAATATTCTGTTCTTTCGTTCTCCCTCCTAAAAGTTCATTTTCCCACATTATACTCCATTGGCCGACATTTTGCCGCCTTACTTCACTTATCAATATCTCAGTGTAAGCTGATTGCATCCCTCTTGCAACTTGCCTTTCCACCTAGTTTTCTGTGCTCTGCAAATGTGGCTACAATCCATTCACTGCCTCGTCTAAGTCACTAATATATATTGATGATCTGTGGAACTTCACTGGTTACAAGTTACCAACCTAGAAAAGAACCCCTTATCCCCACTTGCTGTTTCCTATCTAATTAGCCAGTTCTCTATCCATGCCAAATAACTACCTCCAACACCATGGTTTCTTATTTTATGACTTAACGCTCAATGAGGTACCTTGTCGAATGCCTTCTGGAAGTCCAAATACAGCACATCTACTGTTTCCTTCTATCCAGTCTGGGTGATTTCCCTTTCATGAAGCCATATTGAATCTGGTTGATTAAATTTTGATTTTCCAAATGTGCTGTGATTACTTCCTTAATAATTGATATCAATGTTTTTCAAACAATAGATGTTAAGCTAATTAGCCTACAGTTACCCACTTTTTGCCTCCCTCCCATTTTGAATAGGGATATCAATTGGCAGTTTCCAGAGGAAATAGTCTATGGCTGTGGCGTATTCGACAAAATAATGTGTCAGCGTGTATCATTTTGTCACATACTTGCCTCTGAGTCAGTAGGTCTTGTGTTTAAGTCCTAATTCACAACTAGAACAATTCAAGGCAGTACTAACATTAATGCAGTACTAACATAACATTGTAGTGTCAGACTCTCTGTTGTCATGTTAAGCTGAAGTCCTATCTATCAGCTCAGCTAGACGACAGATATTTCATGGCACTTCTTTTTCAGAAATGCAGACAAGTTCTAATAGTATTCTGATGAAAATAAATCAAATAGTTATTTGTCACATTATGACTTGTTACACATTGCTGTGCTCAAATGGCTTTTTGCATTTTTGTATATCACAGCAGAGTTTATATGTTGAAATAATTCTTAGTGTATTTGACTGCCACTGCACACCCACTTCCTTACTGTTTAGAATTCTCATTTTATTTTTAACTATTGAATGCTGCTAAATTGTTCTATTCTGGCAGGATGGATCAGGAATTTTGCAGAAGACATAGTATGTCAGAAGTCAAGGATGAAAATGGCTCAGTGAAGACCCTGTCAGCAGCAGCCCGGAGATCGTTCTTCCGGCGAAATAAAAAACATAAACGGAATAACTCGAAAGATGGAAAGGAGATGTTGGCTCTTGATGCCATAAGCACTGATTCTATCCCTTTGTTGGAAGGTATTTTGTTAAATTTTTGTCAAGAGATGATCCCAGTTGAGTAACCAACTTTAAATGTTTATGATGGCTTATGTGAGATGTTAGTTATCTTGCCAAATGTATTAGGTGGAGTGAAGTGTAATCCGCTTTAAATCACTGATTGGAACCCTGATCAGCAATTCCCAAGGTTTAAGATTATCACAGGAATTACAAAGGATTATTTATCTCATTATTCTGATTTATTCATTAAAGACTGTTCTGATTTGTCAGTCATCTTTGCTATTTTGGATTTTTAAAGCGAGTGTATGTTCAAACTTATTTTCACTGATAGATTGTGGAAATTTGGCTTATCAAAGAGTGCAGAAAATAGAATGCACCTCACCGAGGCCTGTGCTTATTTTGGGACCATTAGTGGATGCTGTGAAGGACATGTTAGTTAAAGATTCCTCTGGAAAGTTCTGCAGATGTCCACTAGGTAAGTACAAATCTGTAGATTTGCTTTAATTTCAAATATATAATTGTGATTCTGTGATAATTGCTGCCTGTGTTTCTCCTTTATGAAATGGTAGGATTAAAAAAAACTTCTGAAATTAAGTACTTTATCTGCAATTAAAATGTCTCTGTTAATCTTAATCAGACTTCAAAGAATAGTTTCATAAATATAAACATAAGAGGAGCAGGAGTATGCCACTTGGCTCCTCTAACCTACTTTGTCATTCACTCAGATCATGACTGATACATTTACCTCACTTTCTTATGTACTCATAATAACCTTTCATCTCCTTACTGAGAATTTATCTACCTCTCCCATATAAATATTCGAGGGCTCTGGTTACATCACCTTTCAAAGGACAAAATTCAAAAGCCCTTCAACCTTCTGTGAGAGAAAAATAATTTATTGTCTTTCTCTTAAATGGGTCATCCCTTATTTTGAAACAGTAACCCCTAATTCTTGGTTCTCCCTGTAGGCGAAACATCCTTTCTACATGTGCCCTGTTATGGCCCCTCAGGATCTTATGTGTCCAAGCCACCTTTTACTCTTCTAAACTCCAGAGGATACAAGGCTGTCCTCAGAAGACACTCACACATTAGTCTTGTAAATTTTCTCTGGACCATGTCTAAGGCAATTACATACTTCCTTAAATAAGAGCACTAATACTGTACACAGCACCCCAGATATGATCTCACCAGTGCCCTGTATAACTGAATCACAAATACATACTTCTGTATTCAAGTCCCCTATAGTAAACAATAACATTCTATTAGCTTTTCTGATTGCAGTTATTCCTCCGTATCCACAAGGGTTCTGTTCCTGAGAACTGTCACAAATGATAAAATTTGAGAATGTGGAGCTCATTAAACAATAATTAAAAATCGCAGATAGGCAATTTTTGCCCATGGATGTTGATTTTCATTGTTACTTAATTTTTGGCGCACATAGGCGAATTTGTGATTCGTGATTTTGTGGATACAGAAGATTTTCTGTATTTGCTTACGTGCATACTAACCTTTTGTGATTCATTCACTAGGACAGTCAAACCCCCCTGCATCACAAACCTTTGCAATCTATCACCATTTAGATAATATGCTTCCTTTTTGATTCTTCTGCCAAAATGAACAATTTCACATTTTCCCATATTATACTCCATTTGGCAGATCTTTGCCCACTCATTTAACCTATCTATATCCTTCTGCTTATGTCTTCTACACAACTTACTTTCCTACCTAACTTGGTGTTATTTGCTCATTTAGCACCCTACCTTCTGTTCCAGCATCCAAATCATTTAAAATCGGAAAATGTTGAAGCCCAGCACTGATCCCTGTGGCACACCACTCATTGACATCTTTCCAACCAGAAAATGATCCATTTATTCTGATCCTCTGTTCCTACTCATTAGCCAATTTCCCATCCACGCCAGTGTGACTTCATTATCTAATTGAAAATATGTTCTTCTTTGGCAACAATGTGGGAGGTAGATAAACTTTGTTGAGGCAGAGGTTGAAATAAAAACAAAATGTGAGGAAAAACTCAACAGGTCTGGCAATATCGGATGGGGAGTTAGCATTTTAGGAGGTTCATGGAGGTTCAACCCATTTCAATTACTTTGTCAAATGGTATAGGCCATTTTTTTAACCCTCTGAAGATTCCCTTTAAAAGCCTCTTATTCATTATTTAACCTTGGTAAAGTGATACTTGTGAATTGCTGTTAATTACTAATCATAAAAGATCTTGCTTCAATTTTAAGTGTTGTTTTGATTTTTCAGGACTTAGCATTCTTTTTACTTCAGATGATTGCTTTAATTGGAGCATTCTTATGGAGGAATAATTAAAGTTTTCTGAACTGACTGTTGCATGCTTGCTTGGGTGTCCTGTTCAAAACAAGCAGTCAGATGTTAGTGAAGTCTAGTGAGCTGAAGACTGGATTACCTTCTGTAATGAGCAGTTGGAATTAGACATTCAGATAAAATTGATATGAAGACAGCTACTCCACATTCTAATTTGTGTTTGTTTTCTGTTTAGAGGTTATGAAAGCTTCGCAGCAGGCCATTGAGCGAGGAGTTGCAGACTATCTCTTCATTGATTACAAGAGGAGAAGTGGCCATTTTGATGTCACCACTGTTGCCTCCATTAAAGAAATAACCGAGAAGGTGCCTCTCGCTGCTCTTAATTTCTATGGTTTATATAATTTGATCATTTCTACTTCAGGTTACCAATGCCAACTGATTTTATCAGTTTAATCAAGTTACTTTATAACATTTCAAAAGTTGTAAGATCCCGGGGCATCTAGATTGATCCTAATCTCAATAGCAAGATTGTGAATTCTGATGAAGACAGCATTATTCCTGCTCGAGAGGCAAAAAAAAAAGTCCTGTTTACATAAGGTTATAGGAAAGTATATAACTAGAGCTTAAAATTAGAGGTGTGAAGAAAGATTTGAGAGGTGAGAGCTGTTTCCTTAGAACAGAGGAGGCTGAGAAGTGACTTAATAGTGGTCTATAAAATAATGAAGAACTTTGATAGAGTGGACAGGGAAAACCTGTTTACCAAAGCAGAGAGAAACCACAAATTTGAGGTGATTGGTAGACGGTTTAAAGGGGATACAAGGAAAATCTTTTTCACCTAGAGGGTGGTGGGTATCTGGAATTCACTGCTCCACTTTGTAGATGAGGCAGAAACACTCAACACATTTAAAAGGAATCTGGAGCAACACAGCAGGCCAGGCAGCATCAGACGTGTAGGAAAGTTGACGTTTTGGGTCGGGACCATTCCGAAACATCAACTTTCCTACTCCTCTGATGCAGCCTGGCCTACTGTGTTCCTCCAGCCCCACACCGTGTTATCTCTGACTCCAGCATCAGCAGTTCTTACTATCTCTGAAAGGAACCTGGATCTGCACCTGAAACTCTGTAACCTGCAAAGCTACAGATCAGGTGTTGATAAGTGGGATTAGAATGAGTGGTTAGTTTATTCAGCTGATGCAGACACAACAAGCTAAATGGCCTCTTTCTGTTCTGGGACTTTTCTACAGTTCTGTAGAAACCTACAGCTAGCATGCCTCTGGGTCTATGTCCAGATGTTGATGTTACAGGGGAGGTGATGGCCTAGTGGTATCATTGCTGGATTGTTAATCCAGATAGCTAGGTAATGTTCTGGGGACCTGGGTTCGAATAGCACCACAGCAGATGGTGGAATTTGAACTTAAAAAACAACTGGAATGAAGAATCTAATGATGTCCATGAAACCATTGTCGAATGTCAGAAAAACCAGTCTGGTTCACTAATGTCCTTTAGGGAATGAAACTGCTGTCCTTACCTGGTCTGGCCTAGAAGTTACTTCAGACTCACAGCAATGTGATTGACTCGTAACTGTTAGGGATGGGGCAATAAATGCTGGCCTAGTCAGTGACGCCGTCATCCCATAAATGAATCTTTAAAAAAAATTGCTGTTTTGCTCATTAATCACATTTTACGTAATTATACCAGTGTCTTTTCTAATTTGTGATAATGGACTCCTAGATACTAGCAGTACTTGCAAGGATTCCTTGGGAGAGCAGCATTATTTATAACTAATTCCACAGTGTTTACAAGCAAGCATTTTCATGAGAGATATAAAATACTGTCCTAGCAGAGCTTGAACCAGTGATGAAACTTAGCCCCTTGTTAGAAATGCACCTGCCTTGATATAAATGAATATCAGAATATTCCTGAAGACATGACACATTGATGTGCAATGTTTGATCATGTTGCTGCACCAGAATCATGATTCCTAAAGATATGATGAGGTGTAGGGCCTGTAAACCTTTTCATTTTGCAAATTTTTTTTGTCAACTCTCTTTTACTCAATTTCTTGTTAACTTTCCTATTTCAAATCACGATAGGTAGAAGAGAATTTCATCTTTGAACAATTCCTGTTCAAGACACAAGTGTAAATTGATAATAATTTGGCTGGGAAGGAAACGCATATTTGTTGGATAAGGGTGCTTATGTTGTAAAGCAATGATTATGATATTGAAAAGCAAAAATATGATGGCTTGTATTATGTAGTGAAGTTGTAATGTTGCTGCTGCTTATATCATGTAATCCGCAATATCACTTCTCTGTGACCACATAATTGTTCCTCAACGTTGCACCATAACATTTTGGCTGTTATGCAGAACACTTCAGAGCTTCATCTACATCATCTTGCTTGAAGTTTGACAGGTGCTGCAAACTCTGCATTGTCCTATGTTCAACATCTGTTTCTAATGAGTTTTTTTTATGAAGTTTAATAAGAGTGAGATTGCAGCTATGATTTAAATTGCCCAAAGGCATGAAGAAAAGGGAGAATATGCATTTATATAGCACCCACAAAGGATACCCCAAAACACTTCGCAATTGTTATAGATAAATGTGATAACCCACTTGCACAGAACAAAAGTCCTGTGAACATCAGTGAGGTCAATCCTCAGATAAAGTGCTTTAGTTACAGTTGAGTTATAACTGTTGGTCCCTGCTCTTTTTCAAGAAACGCCTTAAAATTCTTTTCTCTACTTGAGAGGACATATGGTGCCTTGGTTTAATAAATATTAGCAAGATGACAGTGTACCACTTCATCAGTATTACATTAAAGCGCCATTCTGGGTTATGTATTCAGGTCTTTGGAGTGGGCATTTATCCTGCGACTGTCTGACCAAGAGCTGACACCAGTACAGGTACTAGTTTGTTATAAAAAAATGACTAGCTGCCAGTAAGGTTGCTTTTCTTAATTTTTTGATTTTATTCATAGGACAGCCACTGCTTGCTTGATATTGCACCACATGCTATTGAGCGTCTACACCGAATACACATCTATCCAATCGTCATATTCATACGGTACAAAAACCTGAAACAAATCAAGTGAGTGAATTCAATTCATTAAAATGAATAAAGAGCTTTTCCTTCTTGATATATAATATGATTATATACAGAATAGCATGTAGTATCGGTAATTGATTGCTGTTGAGGAATGTATAAAAGTTCAAAAATATACAGTATCAACAAAAATATGATACAAATCGAAATGAGGGTATATGTGCACATTTCGAAGATTGAATAATGTGCATTCTTCTTGATGTTCAGGTGCATATAATAATGTCAGCTTTAGATTCTACATAATTTTCTGTTAAATGATCATGCAGTCCTGTTTTGTACCTTTTTTTTGGTTTATAATGTAAATGATGCAAAGCAGGAGAACCATGAGACACTCAGCCGGTCAGGCAACATCCATTTTGATGAAAGGTCATTTGACCTGCCACAGTAACATCTCAAATGCCTCCTGACCTGAGTATTTCCAACATTTTCTATTTATAATACAGAATATCATAGCATTCATTATTGTTTTCACGGAATAAAATAAACCATAGAAAATTACAAAGGCTATCAAAATATTTAATATAGGTAACGTGAGACACCAATAACTTAAATATTATTTGTTTATATGAATACACAAATGTCCCAGTCCTATTTAAGAATTCCATTAGACTGGTTTCAGCAAATTCTAATCGTTGTATTGCATTAACAGAGAGCAAAAGGATCCAGTATTTCTGCGGGATAAAGGTACACAAAAAAAACATTCCAAGGAACAGTTTGAGGCTGCTCAGAAGATTGAACAGGAGTACACCAAGTTTTTCACAGGTAAGGATCTGATGTCTTAGACTGCAAATCTTAATGTTGGCATTTTAACCTTTGCTTTGAAGGGGAGGGATTTGGTCTAAATGCATGATTACTGATTTGTTCATTTTTATTGGACAATCACAGTACAATCACAAGTAGTTAATCCAGTATCAAAGAATCTCTATTTAAAAACATAACTTGGAGTGGACCATTCAGCCTCCCAAAATCACCCTTCCGTTCAACAAAATCATAGCTGATCTGCTGCAGCCCTCAACTCCTGTTTAGTGCCAGCTTAGCACAGCCATCAACTCTCTTAGATTTCAAAAATCTATCTACCTCCTCTAAATAATTTCAATGATCTAGCTTCCACAACTCTCTGAGGTAGCAAATTTTAGACTTTTATTCTGGGAGAACCTCAGTTGCAGAATAACATGTAATACTTTGTCTACCTGTTCAAGATTCCGCCCCCACCCCATCCCCACTGATGTAGTTAATGCAGTGTTAAGGAATCTTTACATAAGAATGTTAGAAATGATGTGTTTCCTGTACAGGAATACCCAGGTCCTTCTGTGCTGCATCTTTTAGGAGCGTCTGTCCATTTAAATAATAGTCTCTGATTCTTCCGATCTTTCACACATTAATCTCAAGCTGCAAGGTTTTGTTCACTCACTCACTCAACCTGTCTGTACCCACTACAGATTGCTGTGCCCTCCCACCTATTTTTGTATCATCAGCAAATTTGAATGCATTATGTTTTTTTTTCTTTATTCATTCACGGGACGAGGGCGTCGCTGGCTAGGCAGCATTCATTGCCCATCCCTAATTGCCCAGAGGGTAGTTAAGGGTCAACCACATTGCCGAGGGTCTGGAGTCGCATGTAGTCCAGACCAGGTAAGGATGGCAGTTTCTTTCCCTAAGGGACATTAGTGAACTAGATGGGTTTTCTGACAATTGACACTGGATTCACAGTCATCATTAGATTGTTAATTCCAGATATTTATTGAATTCAAATTCCACCATCTGCTGTGGCGGTGTTCGAACCCACGTCCCCAGAACATTATCTGCGTCTCTGGATTAACAGTCCAGCGATAATACCACTAGGCCATTGTCTCCGCTGCTGCTTCCTCCAAGACATTTGTATCAACAGTAACAAATTGAGACGCTAAGACTGATATTTAATAAGAGACCCTGTCAAAGGTCTTACATAAATCAAAACAGACTGAGCCAGCAATGATTCTGCTGTCGAGAGAGTCAGACCAGGATGTGATCCTTGTGGAACTCTGCTAGTTATGTCGTTCCAACCTCAAAAAGACACATTAATTGCAATTTGCTTTCAATGTGTGTTAACCAATCCCCAATCTATACAATTCCATTACCCCCAATACTATGATCTCCTTTCTTGTGCAAATAGTCTGGAAACTATGCACCTGTGAGTCTGACATCGACAGTGGGTAAGTTGTTGGAGGTGATTCTGAAAGGTAGGATTTACGTGCATTTGGAGAGGCAAGGATTCATTAAGGATAGTCAACATGGTTTTGTGTGAGGGAGATCATTCTCTCAAACTTGACTGAGTTTTTTGAGGAAGTAACTGAGAAGATTGATGAGGGCAGAGTAGTAGACATTGTTTACATGGACTTTGGTAAGGCTTTTGACAAGGTTCTGCATGGTAGACTAATTAGTAAAGTTAGATCACGTGGGATTCGGAGAGCTTGCCACTTGGATGCAAAATTAGATTGTCGGTAGGAGTCAGAGGGTGGTGGTGGAGGGTTGTTTTCCAGACTGTGACCAACAGTGTTCCACAGTGATCGGTACTGAGTCCATTTTTGTTTCTCATTTATATAAATGATTTGGATGAGAATTTAGGAGACATGGTTAGTAAGTTTGCAGATGACACAAAAATTGGTTGTAAAATGGACAGTGAAGAAGGCTATCAAAGATTACACAGAGATCTTGATCAATTGGGTCAATGGGCTAAGGAGTGGCAGATGGAGTTTAATTTGGATAAATGCAAGGTATTGCATTTTGGCAAAACAAACAAGGCAGGACTTATACAATTAATGGTAGGGCTCTGGGTAGTGTTGTAGAACAGAGACCTAGAGGTTCAGGTTCATAATTCTTTGAAACTTGAGTCACATGTAGACTGGGTGGTTAAGAAGACATTTGGCACACTTGCCTTCATTGCTCAAACCTTGAGTATGGGAGTTGGGACATCATGTTGAGGTTGTACAAGACATGGTGAGGCCTCTTCTGGAGTACTGTGTACAGTTCTGGTTGCCCTGCTATAGGAAGGATATTATTAAGCTGGAGAGGTTCAGAAAAGATTTACCAGGAAGTTGCCCCAGGAATGGAGTGTTTGACTTATAAGGATAAGCTGGGACATTTTTCACTGAAGCCGAGGAGATTTGGGGTGACCTTATAGAGGTTAATGAAATAATGAGGGGCATAAAAAAGGTGAATAGCAAAGGTCTTTTCCCTAGGGTGGGGAAGTACAACTAAGGGGCATATTTTTAAGGTGAGAAAAGAAAGATTTAAAAAGGACATGAGAGGCCATTTTTTTTACACAGGGAATGGTTCGTATGTGGAATTAACTGCCAGAGGAAGTGGTAGCTGACGGTATGGTTGCAAAATTTTAAAGACATTTGGGTAAGCACATGAATAGGAAAGGTTTGAATTGAATGGACCAAAAGCAGACAAGTGGGACGAGGTTGGTTTGGGAACATGGTTGGTGTGGACTAGTTGGACTGAAGGATCTGTTTCCATGCTGTATGACTCAGTGTGGTACCTTATCAAATGCCTCAGAGAAATCTAAATACACTACATCTACCAGTTCTCCTTTATCAACTCTTGCTTGTTATATCCTCAAAGAACTCCAGCAAATTTGTCAAACATGATTTCAAACAGTTGACGCTGTTTGATTGCATTGAATCTTTCTAAATGTTCAACATTTTCTTAATGAACTTGGTGACAGATGTTAGGTGACCTGCCTTGCAGTTTCCTGCTTTCTGTCTTCCTCCCTTTTTGAACAGGGTTGTCACGTTAGTTGGAACCCTCCCTAATTCCAGAACTCACTAGATTATTTTGCCCATTTCCTCCACTGTCTCTGCAGTTATTCCTTTTAAAACCTTTGGAGACAAGCCTTCTTATCCAGATGACTTGTTTGTCTTTCATCCCATTGGCTTGATCCTAATGATAGAGACTGTTACAAGATCTTTTCTCATATTAACACCTTGCTCATTTGTTATCATTGGGGTGGTCCCAACTTTTAAACAGAGTCCTCTCGTTCTGGACTGATCCACAAGAGGAAACATCCTTTCCATGTCCACATTGTTGAGAGTATTGAGCATCTTGTGTACTTCGTCATCTTTCATCCTTCTAAATTCCAGTGGAAACAAGCTCGGCCTGTACAACCTTTCCTCATTCAACAACCCACATACAATGCCTGTTCGTGTCCACAACTCTTTAGAAATACAATACTGACTAAAGGACTGCAAGTGAGATTAGTCATTTAGATGATTGGACAATTGAGTTGCGATGCAAAATGATACCAAGAGTACGAGTTCTATTCCCGCACCGGCTGAGGTTATCATGAAGGACTCACCTTCTCAACTTTGTCAGAAGTATGATGAGCCTCAGGTTAAACTCACCACTAGCCTTCCCCCTCTAATAAGAGAGCATCCTTTTGATCCTCTGGGACTATGATGGCTTTATCTTTTTACTTTTTAGTTGTTGCATGTTTGTAAATGTGACCTGCTCCCTTCTTTCTTAATCTCTAATGACACTTGATCTCAGTTCTGGTTACCGGCCACTTCTGTTTGTTCATTTTGTCTTCTGAATCCTTTCTTTTTTTAAAACTATACTACACAATATACTTGACAAAATCTAAAATTAAGGGTAATCTATCTGTCTAGCACCATTGTCACAGGATGAAACATTGTTCATGGAAAGATTAAATAGAATGGAGATATCATTTTGATAAAAATGAGTGTATTGCAAAAGAAGATCAAAATTCTAACATGTCTGAAATCAAGGACATTAGTTTCTTCCAGTACAGTGAGATCATTACTTGCTGTAAGTAAACAGAAAGAAAAGCTAAGTGAAATATCCTATCTTCATGTAATGAATCATTAGAAAATCTAAGGGCCCCTTGTCTGTCAGTTTTGTGTTGCATTTGATACTCATTTTTATTTAAGCTGCTCAACACCGATCCATGCACCAGCTGAACTCCTGCTTGTGGTGTGCTCCATTTCAAGGATTGAAATTAAGTTCTAAAACATTTAATGTTATTGATTTTGTTTCACTTTTGTTTTTTGTTGCTTTTCCAGGAGTACTTTTGCCTCACTGGCTGCTTGTTGAGTGCTAGCAATTTTATACCAGTAGGTGGCAACGTCCATCATTCTACTCCAAATTTCCAACTACAGTAAATAACTGTAGAATATCTATCTTCATTCTAAAAATGCCTTTGAGATTTAGATTGACTGCAGGTATTAGATGTTGCCTTCATAAAAGTTGAATGAAGACAATATAAAATATTTAATCAGTAATGATTTTTGTTGGTGTCAGTGGTTAGAAAGTCAAAGAGTACCATATTAACTTGAGGATGCATAGCCTTAAGTTGTTTAATATTTTTATGCATAAATGTGTAATGCATCCTGCTGTGATATTGAAAGTAATTTCAACATTCACTCCCTCCGTCACTAATGCATAGTGGTAGCAGTGAGTAATATCTATTATATACACTGCAGTAACAGATTAAGCCTGTTTTCACAGTACCTTCCGAACCCACAACCTCTAGCACCCAGAAAAATAAGGGCAGCAGATACATGGGAACACTAGCACCTGCAAATACCCCACCAGGCCACTTACCATCCTGACCTGGAACTGTATTGCTGTTCCTGCACAGTTACTAGGTCAAAATCTTGGAAGTCCTGAACAGCACAGTGGGCGTCCTACATGCCAAAAAGCTGCGGGTTTTCAAGAAGATAGCTCAGCACCTCTTTGTCCAGGAAAATTAGGGAAGAGCAATAAATACTACAACAGCAGCACCCACAACCCATGATTTCTTCTTAAAATTGCACTGTGCAAACATGATGTGGTTTACTGTGCTTAGCTGAAGAGCATTTCAATATCATGAGAGAATTAAGTCTGTTCTCAAGCAGTGTATCATGGTGTGATGATACTACAGCACTTCTCAATGAAGCTTTCACTTTCTGATTTTTCAAGTTTTCATCTGTAGCAATGAACTCTCGTTGAAATATTTTGCTCTGCATGAAAATGTTCTAACAGATTTAATGTATTTTTCTACCTTTTTTTTAGGAGCGGCATTGGCCTCGTGGTATTATCACTAGACTGTTAATCCAGAGATGCAGGTAGTGTTCTGGGGACCTGGGTTTGAATCCCACCATGGCAGGTGGTGAAGTTTAACTTCAATAAAAATCTGGAATTAACAGTCTAATGATGACCTTGAAACCATTGTCGATTATCAGGAAAAACTAATCTGGTTCACTAATGTCCTTTAGGGAAATAAACTGCTGGTCTTACCTGGTCTGGTCTACATGTGATTCAGACCCATAGTCAGTATGGTTGACTCTTAACTGCCCTCTGGGTAATTAGGGATGGGCAATTAATGGACACCTGCATCCCAGGAATGAACATTTTTAAAAAAAAAGAGATAAAAAGTATACGAATATTCTGCAAATATGCTGTCTATCACGTAAACACCATATGTTCGATATTGTGAAGACCCTGTAGTTGTAGGAAACTCCATGATTTTCTCTCATATCTGTTGAATTAAAATAGGTAGATTCAGGGCTTATCTTGGGATGCCTGAACTTGTCGTTGTATTAAAAAGAAAAAGAAATCGGCATAAGAATTGGAATAAATGCATACTATTTGCACTCAAATTTTATTCTGTCCTTTGCTTCTCCTAGGAACAAAATAATTTCAAGAACAGCTAAAACGTTAATCACCTGACTAACATTCCATAAGGAGAGTTATTTAATAGCTGGTGCTAAAAATGAAGTATGCACAATATTAGTAAAAGCAAAGTACTACAGATGTTGAAAATCTGAAATAAAATAAATTGTCCTTCCAGTTGCTTTCCGTTCTACAAAACCACCATGCTCCCATGATAACATTTTCATCCTTGGCTTACTGTTGTGTGCTAGTGAAGTTCAACGCAAGCTGTAGGAACAACACCTCATGTTCTACTTTGGCACTTTACAACTTATAGGATACAATATTGAATTCCACAACTTCAGAGAATAATCTCTGTTCTCCATTTCTCTTACATCCCTTACCCTCCTTTGGCTACGTCTAACTGATAGGAGCCGTTGGCTTTGACTATCCTGGGGTTGTGAAGAGGAACTCTGTTTCTCTTGCTGTCCATTGTCCAGCTGTCTGTATGAAGTTTGGATGAAAATGTTATCAGGCTCAATAGTTGGATGGTAAAATTGACTGAAAATAGTGGCTAATTCCTACATGGTGAAAGGACCATATGAGTATATGAGTAAGGTAACATCCCAGCCTCACCAGATGAATCAAAAACAGAAATTGCTGGAAAAGTTCAGTAGGTCTGGCGGCATCTGTGGAGAGAAATCAGAGTTAATGTTTTTGGCCAGGTGACCCGTCCTAACGGGACGGGTCACTGGATCCGAAACGTTAACTCTGATTTCTCTCCACAAATGCTATCAAAGCTGCTCAGCTTTTCCAGCAATTTATGTTTCTGTTTCTGATTTACAACATCCGCAGTTCTTTCGATTTTTGTTTCATCGCCTTCGGAAGACGAGCCAAAATAGGAGAAAATTGGAGGGCGAAAAGATCGGATAATAATTTTGCTATTAAATACATGTTATATTGATGTATTTATTATTTGGTTTTAGAAAATAGTTTTCCTCGCGTCATTTATTTTCCATTGTTAGATCCCTTTCAATATAAATATAAAATAGGGAAGATATCATCACATGGCTTAAAGATGTGTAATATTGATGAGTGATAGGCAGCATTATAATACCCCAGTCGAAAGTAAAGGTTTTGAATGTTTTATCCTTGTGATTATGTCTGGAAATCCTAACCTGTCATTGGTTTGCACTTTTTGATATCAAAGAAACACTATAAAATGACAGTCGCTTTCTAATTATTAATCATCTCTGTCACTTTGCAGGTATTGTCCAGGGCGGCAGCCTGCCCTACATTTGCACTCAGATCATGACAATTGTTGATCAAGAACAAAACAAAGTCTTGTGGATTCCAGCTGGAACACTCTAGGACCGCACTTGGGTAGCTCAAACTTGCTTTGTTATAAAGGTGTAAAAGCTGACAATTGCCATATTGAGTACATATTGGAACAGTCTGAAGATTGCAAATTACACAGAACAGGCAATGTACTTATAGTGAATGAAAATGAATCTCATTCTGAGGGTGTTGGATAAATACTTTTAAATAGGTTGCTACACATTGACCTGACATCTGCTGTACTCTGGCAATGTTAGAAAAACACCCTCCAAATTGGATATATCCAGGATTGATTTTAAAATATTTTATTCTACCTTATCTCTCCACTCCCCCGAATAAAAATTTGAAATAAAAGTGTTGCTGCAATTAAAATTTAGAACACATGTTTACAAGTAATATTTCCTGAGTATTTGTTTTAAATGTTTACTTGAATGTTTATATCCTTATTTCTTATTCTTTGTATTTTGGATAAGACAACTCTTCTAAATGGGGTGAAGTTTGTGCATGCATACAGGCGTGTTTAGCTGGTTACATGCTCGCGTCTTGTGATTCTACTGGCAGATTAAACCTAATAAAATTGGTACAGAGTGATCATGTAAGTGGGAAAAGATATTGTGATTGGTACTGTTTGGAGTGGATTATGAATTTTTATGCACTCCTGTAAAGGGCAGACCACTGCATTAATTTTTTTTGTCTGTTGAAAATATATTTTTCTGCATGGATCTTGATATTTAAGCAGCATAATGTATCTGATCATATTGTATAAACTAATACCTTAATTGTTGGGCCTAATGATATGTAGCAAGGGGTAAAGAGCTATTAGCTAGGCCTGGCATGCTGATATGACACTTTCTAAAAGCTGTAAATATTGAAGAAACTCATCTTGGTGCAATTTTGCAGTATATGTTGAGCATTTTTGTTTTTAATTGAGTGTGTAGCAGTCAGATTTATTTAACTTTGAAACACTATTTCCCTTGCTTGGAGTTTTGTCTAAGTAAATGTAGTTTTGAGGCACAGTAAATAATTGTAGAGTTGCCACTGTCTGGAAATTGGTCATTGAGTCTGCAATGCAATGTCTATGTTATGTTCTCCACCCCCAAACCCTACTCCCGCCACCCCCACCCCCCACCGCCCCCCAGTACATTGTGCCAAATTGTCAACATTAATATCCTCTGTTTTCACATTGCACTTGTGAATCCTGTGTGCCTAACACAGGATTGCTTTTGGTCCTCCAGTTTGTGTCATTTTTTAAATGTAGTTTCCTACTGTACCTACAGTCTTCAATGCATAAAGAAATACAAGACTGTTCCTTACATTTCATTAATTGCCTGGTGCATGAGAGCCTTTCATATGTTCAACAAAACTGCTCACTTTTGAGTTCTATAGTGAAAAGGGATGTTTTTAAAGAACAAAAGGTTGTTCTACATTTTAACAACTTGATTTTCTTTTTAACAAACACTTTTTAAATTAGAATTAGTGCCAGAAGTAGCATTGGGCCAGGTTATTCAATTGACTTCACATACTGCAGACATGTAGAACAATTCAATTATTTTCTATAACAGCCTGACCTCGCAGTGAGGAAGTTTCCCTTTTACATTCAAAGTGCCCAATCTTACTGTTGGACTTTTCATTTTGGCTCAATATGTAAATCCAACTGATCCAGTGATTTGATCCCTACGCACCTACTGCCAATGTAAGTTGTTGCAGGGCTCAGTCAGAGTGTGACAGAAATGGTACAGAGCAAGCAGGTACTGATTTTTTTTCTGTGCTGAAAGAAGAATGTTACTTTGTATCAAATGTAAAGCAATTGATTAGTACAAGAATAAAGGTCAATTTCTGATATCCAACATGTGTGTTTGTTCCAATATCCATTTTGTTTGAAACTAACTTGGTGAAATCTAGGTAAGCAGCTTGAGTTTAGAAATGTTTTTTTACCCTAATTTGCTTGGGCCTCCATATGGTTTCTTCCAAGCTACTAGAGACCGCTATCCAGCCCCTCGAGTCTGTTCTGTCATTCAGTGAGATCACGGGTCATCTGCATTAGATCCACGCAGATCCCATTCCTAACCTTACCCGCCATTCCATTATATTCAGTTCTCCTCTCAAACAGAAATCTTGTCAATCTTTCTTATTTTCTTGTTCTTTCTTGTTTCTTGTTCTCCACCCCCAAACCCTACTCCCGCCCCCCTTCCCCCCCCCCCCCCCCCCCCCCCAAAGTACATTGTGCCAAATTGTCAACATTAATATCCTCTGTTTTCACATTGCACTTGTGAATCCTGTGTGCCTAACACAGGACTGCTTTTGATCCTCCAGTTTGTGTCATTTTTTAAATGTAGTTTCAGTTGACCCGATCCCAACAATATTTTGGGCAAGAAAAAGAGGATGTGCAAATGAGAGTTTTCCCATACTTTTGAAGTTTCTTTGAACCAGGGATTATTTCTGTGGAGGCAAACAAAATTCAAAAAGGTTAATAAATCAGAACTAGAAATTTATGCCCCCCCCCCCTTTTGAGCTGATGAGAGTAAAATCCCTGATGAGATCATTAGAATTTCTTTTTTTCATTCTCAGGATGAAGACAACATGAGAAAGGCTGCTTGATCTAATCTTTAGACAGTAACACCAAGGATATGTTGTAGGATTTAAGACTACAGATATTAGTAGTCAATATTTCATTGTAAAAGTTAGCTAATTAAACACAAACATATGATGTAGTGCTGATCAATCTTTGTTGCTTCAAACAGATTGAACCTAACAAAAGAAAACTTGCCTTTTGTGACGTTGTCACAGCAGGAAAAATGCAGCCTAGTCAACATGAGCATCACACTATAAAGTCATGAAAATCAAACAGGTGAACCAACAGTGACAAGAAACATCAAATCTTCACTATTAGCCCTGTATCTGTTGATACCTATCTCACTTCTTTTGTAGTATGACCACCTCGCACCAAGTGTCAATTTGCTGAGTAAGCACCAAATAGTCAGTGAAGAAACAACCCCAGGAATTGCTTATCTCCCTCCCCCTTTCAGCGTGGTTCTGAGAATCCAATGAAGCTGCAAAATATCAGTATTTCTGACTGCCCTATAAACGCTGAAAAACTAAACTGTGGGCACTTTCCAAACTCATGGATCCATCTTGATTATGATTTGAACTGAATATTTTCCATCGGTCTGTAGCTGACAGCAATTTGATTTTGTTGACAAGAAACACTTTGGATTGTGAAAAATCATCAGATTTTCTCCTTTGTTTTCAGACTCTGGTCCAATAGTGTTTTTATTCTTTTTTGCCCTTCTCTTTGCAAGTACTGTTGCATTTTGTATGTGTGTGTGTGTTTGGGAATGTAGTTCTAATTCTAGTTTATTGCTCAGATGTTAATCAGTATTTGCCACTTGTTTTAAAAGCAAGGTTTATTTTATAATAGATAGATAATTTTGAGCAATGATGAGATGCCAATTCTGCCTATCCTTCAACCAAGTTTTAGTCACAGCTATGATATCATACTCCCACATGCCTTTGCCTCACACCCAGAAAAATCCTGTTTTTTTTATCATAGCCTGAGTCCCACACAGGTTGGCCAGTGTTTTGTTTGCTCCTTTGCAAAGAACCTGACCTGACCTCACCTCTTCTCTCAATGAAGCTAACTGCTGGTTAAAGGCCCTCACCTTGCCTGCTCCTCTATTTATCACCTAATAGTTCCTTGTGTCCCTATGTCCTGCTTTGAAATTTTTGTCCTTATATTGTTTACCTGGACTAAGGAGTTAGCTAAAGAAGTTTGTTTTACATACCAGAGAGAAGAGAGCAGGTGTTTGTTCAACATTGTTGTCTGTAAAATGCACATGATAGTTGTTTTTGTTGCTAGCTGCTGGAAATGCTGATCCAGAGTGTCATGGATTGGCCTGTTTGGAACTGAAGCACTTCCGTAGCACTTGGCCTAACAGTTCAGGAGAGGAGCAGACAGGACCTGTTGACCTGGAATGCTGTAAAGCTTATAAAAGACCCCAAAGCAACTGTGGTGAGGCTAAAGTACAGTGTGAAATGGCATGGTCTTGTCACAAATATAGAGGTCACAAAATGCATCCTCGAAAGTTTTAGATCATTAGATTCGTGATAGACACTAATATAAAGTTGACATGCTCAGTAATGCCAGGAGATAAACTGACGTTAAATTTGTTGAAGAAATATGTTAACAGTTGGCATAAATCAAGCAGCATGTACCAAAAAAGAGACTTAACAAAAGAAATCTTTATACGTTTGTCAGTGGCTAGCACTTCTGCCTCGTAGTGCCATGGATCCAGGTTCAATTCCAGCCTCAGGTGACTGTCTGTGTGGAGCTTGCACATTCTCCAAGTGTCTGTGTGAGTTTCCTCCAGTAGCTCCGGTTTCCTGCCACAGTCTGAAGATGTGCAGGTTAGGTGGATTGGCCATGCTAAATTGCCCATAGTGTCCAGGGATGTATAGGTTGGGTGAATTAGCCATGGGAAATGCAGGGTTACAGGGATAGGAGTAAGGTGAGTCTGGGTAGGATGCTCTTCAGAAGGGCAGGGTGGAGTCAATGGGCCAAATGGCCTGCTTCCATACTGTAGGAATTCTGAGATTTATAAGCTGAATTGGCATTTAGTTCGGCAGGTAGAGATCAGCTGCATTTCAATTGCTCATTAATTTCACCAATTTTCCAAACTAGTCTCTGCAGGATAAGGGGTTAAGAGAAACTGCTTTTGAGGGCATTGCCCTGGACATTGTAGAGTATGAAAATATTGAGGGGAATGCTGATGCTGGAGGTGGTTTTCAAACTGGTCAAGTACTACAGTGAGTTATCATCTGTAACATTTTGCCTGCTGTTCGCTCACTGGTGAAACTGACAGTAGCTTTCACTGAAAGAACTGCTTGATGGTTTTTATTTTGCTGCAACATATAACCAAAATAAAGGGGATGGAAACTTTAGTAAGATGAAGTTTATTTGTTCTGCAATCCATTTTATGACTTAAGTTTGCAGAAATAATAATGATGGATTCTGCAATTTGTCATCACAGAAAAGGTCGATTGAAGCACAGTTTTTGCAGACTGTCGATGTCCTAATTTCAAGTCTTGATAAAGATTAAAACACATGGGAAAACTGATTATCAAAAACCTGTGACAAAGGTCTTCATGAGAAGCACTTGTCCATATTCCACCGCAATGAAATCAGAGGGGCCTTATTAAGTTGGATCCAGGCAGTTCCTTATCAATAGAAAACAAGAGGTGGTGCTTGAGGAATCGTCCTCTCCTGGAGATATCCCCCGGAATACTTCGGGGAACTATGTTGGGATGTTTACTCTTTGACATGTAAACAATTTCCCCATGTATTTGCAGCTATGGTTTATGTATCGGGAAACCACAAGATTACATCAATTCACTGCAAAACGATCTACTGTAATTGCAAACACACAAATCCACTGGGAAATGGCATTCAGTGCCAAAAAGGTTACGTCATGTGAATCAACAATAAAAATGATACATCAGCAAAAGCTTTCTGTATAATGAAATTATACAATTGGTTGATGAACAACCAGACCTCAATGTCCACATTTAAATTAATCTTCATTGGGGATTCCACAGCTGATTACACTAAAAAGAAATACGGTGTAGGATTTCAGAGGTAGAAACTTTGGTATTGTAATAAAAATATCAGAATTAAAGCTTACTAAATATTTAATAATCAAATCCTGAAATACACAAGTTGAAAGTGTGGAACACTTACACAGCAAAAGATCTAAAGATCTGATTCAATATGGAAACTACACCAGTGTCGCATCAAAGATTTGAAGTGGAATTACTACAACAAAGAGGCGAATAAGGAATAAACTGAGCATATTCAATAAAATATGGAATGGATGGTGGGTATGGACAAAAACAAGTGCCTAATGCCCTCCAGCTATGATGTAACATAAAGTAGCCATCCCCACCAACTATAATGGTTACATATTTCCAAGATAGCATATTTACAAACTGTCTCCCCAAGGATTTTTTTAAAAATTCACTCATGATGTGGGCATGGCTGGCTGGGCTAATATTGATTGCCCATCCCTAATTGTCCAGAGAGCAGTTGAGAGTCAGTCACATCGGAGTCACATGTGGACCAGATGGGTTTTTCCTGACAATTGACAATGATTTCATGGTCATTATTTGATTCTTATTCGCAGATTTTTATTGAATTCAAATTCCACCATCTGTCATAATAGGATTCAAACCCCGGACCCCACAGGATTACCTGAGTCTCTGGATTAACAAGCCAGCAATAGTACTACAAGGCCATCACCTACCCTAATGCTGTCACATGTGAAGTTAACGGAAGTCTTGATTTGCAGATCTGATCCAGCGATAGTAATGAAGTAAAAACCCTTCAAGAGGTAATATGTATTCATCAATAGCCTGAACTGATAGGATATAATCCTGTTAAGTCCATTAAGTTCAGAGAATCTCTGGTCAAACCATGACTTCTGAACTGTACAAGGTCCATTTGTTAAACACAGGGTACTTGCAATTGAATTTTACACCCTTATTTACTTAATGTTGCACAGTAGCTTTGCATCAAATAGGTGAAAATGTACTTCATACTGATGACACCTATGCTTATATATTAAGTCATGGTGTCAAATATTAATACTTAAATAACATCATTTTACTGCCCAAAGTTACTCTTCATACTTAACCTACATTACCTAAGCTAGTGTCAGATAAATAAAGGCTGATAATATTTATAAGCAATGCTGAAATATTAATGTCTGAAGACTGAAAGGCTACTGGCTTTAATTATTCTATATAACATTAATGTGTGGAAATTAACAAATGAGTTACTTTTCAGTTCTAAAGC